GGCTTCCTCCATCTTTGGAAGTGCTGAGTCGTCTCTTTAGCTCTGGTTTTCCCTGTAGGAATCTATGAGATCAGACTTGGCCAGTCAGCACCATACCTCAGTGCTACATCGTGCATATCTTTTTTCTTTAACTTTATTTTTATTCATTGTCATTTTTTTTTAAAGCTGACCAGAGAGAGAGAGAGAGACAGAAGGAAAGTGAGAAAGCAAGCTGCCAGGTCCAGGACTTGAACCATGGTCAGCCATGTGGGAGTCCAGCTGCCTTAACCACCACACCACCTGCCGGCCCCTATGCGTATCTTTTTTATTCTCATTTTTGTGATTGCCCAAGACTATGTGTGCTTATCAGAAACCGAGAGAGAGGATGCCCCTCCAGGGGGAGTGGTCATACCACAGTCTCTCTTCTAGTTCTCTATTCTGTTCAGATGTGGGGGCATGTACACACACATGTGCCTGGCATGTGTTTCAGGCTGCAGGGTCAGGATTTGAACCGCGCCATGTGGGCTCCAGCTCCCTTTACCTCCAGGCTATGTGGCCAGCTTGCATTGTGTTTATTGACTTGTTCTGATTCTTTTTTCTTTGTTTTTATTTTTGTCTTAGGAGAGATTTTTGTTACAGGGTGCGTGCACTCACTAGAGAAACAGAAAGCGAGAAATCACCCTCCAGAGGAGATGGCCATGCTGCAATTTGTTCACCTCCATTCACCTCTCAGGATCTTGGGCATGCACGCACATGGGCCCGGTGTGAGTTTTAAGTTGCCAGGTCTGAGACTTGAACCATGGTCGGCTATGTGAGAGCCCAATGAGTATAACCATTATGCCATTCACTGACCCTGACTCATTCTGATTCTTAATGTTATTTGGCTTTCTGGTTGCAGCATAAATACAAACAAAATAGGGCTGTTTTATTGGTGCTTTCATATGGTAATCAACAGCCTTATCTTTTTTGGGGGGGAGGAAGCACATGGGTAGAAATGATATGAACTCAAATTTCTTTCTATACAACTTCATGATCCTTTTCTTCGTTTGTGGATTTTGAACAGTCTTCAGGAGACATACGAAGCAAAAAGGAATGAATTCCTGGGAGAACTGCAGAAGAAAGAAGAAGAAATGAGACAGATGTTCGTCATGAGAGTGAAGGAGAAAGAGGCTGAACTTAAAGAGGCAGAGAAAGAGGTAAGCCATCTTCTGATGGTCTGTGTCCCTTGGGGGAAGAAAACAGCAGAGAGCTGTTACTTAATTCTTCCTACTTCACCAGACCTCACATGGGTCCAGTGACTTTCTATACACATTTTATGGCATGAGCGGCTTAGCAACCTGCCAAAGAACAGATATTCTCCTCCCCATTTTACAGTTGGTCAGCACAGTCATCAGGGAAGACGAGTTTTTGCCATCGTGTCCTAGCTAATAGCAGTGGATCGAGTTAATAGGTCTTAGGTCTCCAGACCTGTTCGTACATTCTTTGTAGCTCTGTATTTCCTTAATTTGTAAGACTTGAAATAGGAGTTTGGGGATTCTGGGATTGTTATTGCTGACTAAGTCTAGTCTATTACTATCTTAGTCAGCTCAGTGAGCTGAACATTGCAGTGGCCCTTCAGCGCCACCTGGGAGTTGTGGTCGGACACTTACTCAAATCTGTGGCCTTTCTGAGGCATGCCCTCCCTGCTGCAGCATCCTTCCAAACCAACCCCAGATCTCATCCCTGGGCCAGACGAGCTGTTTCCTAGAAGTTTGTGTGGAATTCTGTTGCCCTCTCTCATTGTATTGAGTGGTGTGTGTGTGTGTGTGTGTGTGTGTGTGTGTGTGTGTGTGTAATAGGTCTGCCTCTGCTAGTAAATAATGCATGTCTCAAGAGCTCAGTACATTTCTAAATTAAATGATTTAAATAATTGCTTCATAATCTTGTTATTTTTTAAAAGAATTTTAAAATCTAATTTATTCGTTTATTTTTTAATTTGACTAGAGAGAGACAGAGAGAGAGAGAGAAAGTGAGAAAACAAGCCACCAGGTCTAGGATTCGAACTGTGGTTGGCCATGTAGGAGTGTCCAGTGCCTTAACCACCACATCACCTGCTTGTCCCCCATAATTTTGTTTTAATTTATGTCTCTAAAGGCTACTGAGGCCTAGAGGCACTTTAAATAGCTAAGTATTCAAGAGAGCTTTGCTGGAATGAAAGGGAAGTTGAACCTTATTTGGTGTTGGCTTTAAGGACAAAGTAGATGCTGAGTACAAACCTAGTATTATAAGAATTCCCTCCCTCCTTCCTTTCTCCTTTCTTTTCTTCCTTCCTACCTTTCACTTTTTGTTTCTGTTTCTACGTTGGGATGTGTTTTTTCCATTCAGTTTGTCAGGGGCCAGAAATTGCAGCACATCTTCCACCATCTATTGATATATCTGTCTATAGATAAGTAGTTATATCTGTAGTCATTGCGTATATTTCAAAGCTAATGTTTTTTATACATTTTGAAAAAGGACCAGAAGCAAAGAACCACTCTTAACCACAGGGTAAATTTTTGTTTGGCTCATGGATCATTTTTATCATCTTTATGCTTTCGGACTGGTGTTGAAGGGAGCTGGTTCAAACATGGCTGATGATGTGGTTCAAATCCCAGCCCTGGCAGCTTGTGAGCATGCTGGGTGTGTGTGCTTGCATGCTCCAGATCACAAGATGGAGAAGTGAAGGAGAAGGGATTGAGGTGTAACCATGCCTCGTTGGGGTGCTTGCTCCATCATTTTTATCATCTTTATGCTTTCGGACTGGTGTTGAAGGGAGCTGGTTCAAACATGGCTGATGATGTGGTTCAAATCCCAGCCCTGGCAGCTTGTGAGCATGCTGGGTGTGTGTGCTTGCATGCTCCAGATCACAAGATGGAGAAGTGAAGGAGAAGGGATTGAGGTGTAACCATGCCTCGTTGGGGTGCTTGCTCCCTCTCCATCAAGGAGAAGGGATTGAGGTGTAACCATGCCTCATTGGGGTGCTTGCTCCCTCTCCATCTCTCTGTCTCTCTGACAAGTGCATATTCTCTCTGGCAAATTAAAAAATAAGGATGAGACCAGCAGATGGCATAATAGTTTACATTGCTGGACTCCCACGTTGTCAACTGTGATTTAAGTCCTGCATCTAGTGGCTTAAAATTCACACAAGGTGCATGTGCGTGCATGTCCAAGATTCTGAAAGGAGAATAGAGGAGAAGGGATTGCACATGGCCATTCCCCTGGGGGGTGATTTCTCACTTTCTCTCTGTCTCTCTGGCCAGCACATATACCCTATAGCAAAAAAATCTCTTAAAATAATAATAATGATAACAAATAAATAAATAGAAATGAAAATTTATTTTATCTTCTGAAAAAGTGTTCAGGGCGGAGGGGAGCAGCAGGTGACATGGTGGTTAAGGCACTGGACTTCCATGTGGCCAAATGAGGTTTGAGTTCTGAACCTGGAGACTTGAAACTCAATGTTTGGTGTGTGTGCGTCTATGCCCAAAATCTCAAGAGGAAAATGGAGAAAAAAGGATTACAGCATGGCTATCCCCCAGGGAGGTGATTTCTCACTTTCTCTTTCTCTGTCTCTTTCTGTCTCTTTGGTAAGTTCATGCACCTTATAGCAAATAATCTCTCAAAAAAAAAAAAAAAGGAAAGAAAAATTCAAAAAGAAAGAGTGCTTAAGAAATTTTTAGTCCCAAGGAATTCTGTCAAAGGAGCCTAGGACTCCAAAGGGTGGTCTTGAGCATCTCAGTCCAGCTCCTCTGGTAAGGATAAGTCATCGGATGTACTTCATCCCTGTAACTGAAGCGAACGCAACAACATAACACATATTTGGGTTTTGAACAGATCCAGACAGTCTTGTATCAGTGTGGCTATGCATTCCCTTCACCCCGCCTGTTCTTTTTTTCGCTCCAGCTGCATGAGAAGTTTGACCTGCTTAAGCGAACACACCAAGAAGAAAAGAAGAAAGTGGAAGACAAGAAGAAGGAGCTGGAGGAGGAAGTGAGCAATTTCCAGAAGAAGAAGGCAGCAGCCCAGTTGCTACAGTCCCAGGCGCAGCAGTCTGGGGCCCAGCAAACCAAGAAAGACAAGGATAAGAAAAAGTAAGCAGTGTCCCCCCAGACGGGGGACCTCTAACCACCTATTCTTCTTGCATGTCTCTACTTTTCCCATTTACAGACTGGAAACTGGTCTGTTACCAGAAAGAGAAAAACAAGTATTTTCTCTACAGTACAGGAAAGATGAGCGAGTTTTTAAAAGTATTTTTAAAGGGTACACAAGGATTAATTTATAAACATGACCCTGCTGACCAAGCAATCAGGACTGGAGTAACCTGTCATCGCCCATAGCGTCATCCGCACCAACACTAGGATTCTTGGAGAAGACAGGCTTATTCCTCTTCCATGTTCTCTGAAGACAGTCTCTTGATAAAGAGCATCCAAACATTTTGATGGTTCAAATTCTTCTCCTGCTCTGTCGTAAGGCTCTGGGAGCCAGTCTTTGAAAATCTTGTTCCTAAAATGAAATATCTGGAGGAGCTGCTAGTGGCTGCTAGGTTTCCTCTAAATTCAGCAAGCTGATAAATTATTTTTATTGCAAAGTGGATCCGAAATGCCTATCCGGTTAAGATGGCCTGCCAGCCCTGAAGCCACACCTACCTTCCCCACACAAAACATTCTTAAATATGGCCTTGATTTCGTGTGCCAAAGGGTCAGGTTCTGTCTCTTGCTGTGCTAACTCGAGTAGCAGCTGTCTGGATCCAGTGGGAGATTTGGGCCTCCCTTGAAATCCCCTTATGATGGGACATTCTTTTCTGAATCACCATAAAGACTAGAGGGTTCACTCACATGACAACAGCTACCAGTTGGACAGGAAGCACAGCGGTAAGGACACCTTCGAGGACCCCTTTGTGGTGGCTCCATGGCGAGTCTCCACGGATGCCAGCCTCCTCTGTCTGTCTGACATGTGGTGCTCTTAGAGCGGCTCTCACACAACTCAGAACTCGATTCAGGATTCCCGCTCTTGATCCTTAGAAGCCAGGGCTCTAGGGAAAAAAACTGACAACAAAGTAAACAACAAAAATGGTAGTACTCCAGTAGGCAGAGGATTACACTCTTTAAAAATACAGTCTGTAGGATGGAGTCTGCACAGCGACAGGGGGCTGTCGTAAGGAGGTGGAGGACAGGGCTGGTGTCTGCTTAGACTTGGTTGACAGGCAGTAGCCTCTCCCCTAAGGAGCCTCGCTGCACTCTGCCTGTAGTCCAGACCAAGGGGCACGGCTGCTCTGACACACCATGAGAGCCCTAAGTCCTTTACACGTTTGGACTTTCCAGGCCCTGAGACAGCCGAAGGGAGCAGTCAGTGTTCTGAGCTTGGTGCGGGTGAGGTGTCAGGGGTCAGTACAGACTTACCCAAGCAACCAAAGAAGTCCCGTGGCCCCACATTCAGTTATACTAGATTGATTCTGAGGAAAACCATCATCTAGATTGTAACGCAGCTCACGGAAGCCTTCGTAGCCCTGCGT